TCTCCATGGAGACGGACATTTATGGGGAGACCCGATGGCCTCAAAGCTCCAAAGGCCTCGCTCGGTGCTTTCCTCGCAGGACGCAATCGGCAGGCCCCCCCACGACAGAGCAGCTGCTCCCACCAGTTTCTTTCGCAGGTACTTTGTCGAAGCCGTGCGCAGGTATAGCCAAGTCATTGATGCGGGAGGTGTACTGGTAACCAAGGAAGTACCAACCTTGTTGAGATCCAAGGGGTGACACGCACTCACGATTGGCCACCAACACTCACGTTCGAAGTTGGGGTGGAACTTCGGCGCGAAACTCCACGGTTGGGTTTCGCGGGCTCGAAGCAGCAAGAAGACAATGCTACGCATGAAGCCCCGCGCGCGGGGGCCGGCGCAGTTCAAGCCGCCGGGGAAGCAAGATGACCGGCAGCCCGACGGGTACGAGTCCGGGGGCATGGTCATCAAGAACCTGCCCTTCCTCTCCTTCGTCAACCCGGCGCGGGACCTCGACGCGCTCTACAAGCCGTTCAAGTCACCCTGCGAGAGCATCCGAACGTCCGAGAGCGACCGACTCCTCGCGACCAAGACCCTCGGGTCGCGTCGCCGCTTCGGCTCGATGCCCATCGCGCCGTTTAAGAAGCTTCCCGAAGTCGACGTGGTCATGGACGACGTTGCAGACGCAGCGCCAGCGCCCGTGGACGAAGCGCCCAAGGCCGCCGACGAAAAGCCACCAGAGCCCGTCGTGCTTTGGACCGGCATGGTCAACGACCAAGAAGTCCAGGTCGTTGTCCCGATGGTCATCGGCAAGTGGCTCCGGCCGCATCAGCGCGAGGGCGTCCAGTTCATGTTCGACTGCGGTACGTCCATGTCGCGCTATTCTTTGTCTCATAGACGCCATGCAGTCTCGGGAATCCGCGGCTTTGAGGGCAACGGCTGCATCTTGGCCGACGACATGGGTCTCGGGAAGACGCTGCAGGTAGATATTCTTGCTGGGAGAGAGTTCCGCGTATGCATGGTATGTATTAGAGCATTACGATCATGTACACGCTCTTGTGCACGAGCATGCAAGACCCAACGATCCCGACGATCAACCGCGCAATTGTCGTGTGCCCCACGTCGCTCGTCAAGAACTGGGACGACGAGATCATCAAGTGGCTCCAAGGCCGCATCAAGACCGTCGCCCTCTTTGGTGCTTGGCGCCGTTCCCACCAGTGCCATCTTACCATTCCTGGCTAGAATCGGGGCGCGAAAACGTTATTAGTGGCATCATGTCGTTCATCAACGGCAGCAAGCGCGCCAACAAGAGCATGGCGGCCAAAGTCCTCATCATCTCGTACGAGGTATGCTCTTCTCTCGCGGTGGTTTGGAGCCTTAGCACATTCCAGACGTTCCGTATGCACGCCGAGAAGTTCGTCAACGAGCCCCAAGCGTGCGAGCTCCTCATTTGCGACGAAGCGCATCGGCTCAAGAATGCCAACTCGCAGATCAACCAAGCCCTCAACGGTATCCGCCTCGTCGAAGCTCTTTCCTGAGACGTCTGAGTAGCACTGCCGTGCAAGCGCCGTATTTTGCTCTCGGGGACACCGATGCAGAACGATCTCGAAGAATTCTACGCAATGGTCGACTTCACCAACCCCAACGTTCTCGGGGATCCGCGCGAGTTTCGTCGGCGCTTTCTGGGTCCGATCTTGGTCGGCCGCGAACCTGATTGCACCCAAGGCGAGCGCGAGTGGGCGCAACGGTATGTCACGACAACGTCGTACACGATGCTTACGGCGTCGCGTAGATGCTCGGGTGAAATGTGCGAAATCGTCAACCAATTCATCTTGCGCCGCACGAACGCGCTAAATGCAAAACACTTGCCGCCCAAGCTCACCCAAGTCGTGTGCTGCAAGCTATCGCACGTGCAGCGCAACATGTACTCGCATTTTCTGCACTCGAACGCGTTCCATGCGATGATGACGAAGAAGAGCTCGCGCATCCTGCCATCCATCACGGGTAGGTTGCGTTGCTCATAAACAGAGAACTCGATGGGTTGCATGCTCGTAGCACTCAAGAAGCTCTGCAATCATCCGAATTTGATCATCGACATGAGCAATGGCAAGACGACGATCGCGCCCGGTTTCGAAGAGTGTGCTGCCTTCCTCCCGCATGACGAGTACGCAACGATGTGCTTTGCTGGAGCACACATACTAATACGTTGTACGTTTTTTCGGTAGCCACCGGCATCGGTCCTGTCATCCTGAGTGGTCTGGCAAGGTACATAACTGCCCTGTATGATAACGGTACAATGCCATGCCGCGCCATTAGTTTCAAGTGCTCGACAAGCTCATGCACGAGATGCGCAAGAAGACGACCGATCGCATCGTCATCGTGTCCAACTACACCCAGGTATTGCGTACGATGCGTCGGAGCCTCCCAACCAAACGTATAAATAGACGCTGGATGTCGTCACAGCACTCTGTCGGGAGCGCGGTCTGCCTGCCGTGCGTTTGGACGGGTCCACGTCCGCCTCGAAGCGCAAGAAGCTCGTCGATGTTTTCAACGACCCCAAGACCAACTCGTTTGCGTTCCTCCTCTCGAGCAAAGCTGGCGGATGCGGCTTGAATTTGATTGGCGCCAACCGTCTCGTGCTCTTTGACCCGGATTGGAACCCCGCGACGGACAAGCAAGCGGCGGCGCGTATTTGGCGTGAAGGGCAAAAGAAGCAGTGCTTCATTTACCGCTTCGTCGCGACTGGTAGACGACAGGCCAACGAGACGCTAGGACTCATCTCTGTGGGTAGGCACGCTGGAAGAAAAAATCTTTCAGCGCCAGCTCTCCAAG